TTTGTCAATTCAAATGATCAGTTAGCTGATGTTTTCACTAAGCCTTTGAGAGGTCCTCGAATTAATTATATTTGTAACAAGCTTGGTGCATATGACATATATGCTCTAGCTTGAGGGGGAGTGTTAGATATCGGAATATTCCATATTATGTAAATAGAATATTCTGTAAGTAATTAGGATATCATGTAAATAGGAAATAGAATATTATGTAATTATTATAGAATATTATGTAATTACTATGGCATTTATGCCTCCTATTATATATAATGAGCTCCGATGTGTAATTCACACACACGGATTCAATCCAACCTTCCTTTTGTTCTCTCATTATTCAACATCTGCAAAGGAGATTTGGAAGGCCATGGAGGAGACATACTCCAAAGCTAAAGATGCTGCTCAAATATATGACGTGAAGGTGAAGACTATGGCTGCAAAACAGGGAAACAAGACTGTTACAGAGTATGCAAATCAACTCAAATAATTGTGGATGGAGTTAGATCACTACAGGGTCATAAAAGCCAAGTGCCCAGCAGATTCAACAATGCTCAAAGAGTATATTGAGCAAGATAGAGTCTATGATTTCTTGGTGGGACTTAACTCTGTTTTTGATCAAGTGAGAGCCCAAATCCTTGGAAAAGAAAAAGTTCCAGGAATTAATGAAGTAGTAGCTATGGTCAGGAGTGAAGAAAGCAGAAGGGGAGTCATGCTAGAAAACCTAACCACAGAAAATTCAGCCATGGTAGCTTCTGGGGCCTCGGCCATGATGGCATACCAGAAAAGAGGGGCATAAGTAATATGAAAAAGAAAGGTGAATGATTGTGGTGTACCTACTCCAACAAGCCTTGCCACACTCGTGACAACTGCTGGAAGCTGATCAAAAAGCCACCTAGTAAAGAATGGGGGCCCCAAAACTGAGACAGGGAGTGGGGAAAAAAAGGAGACAACACAAGAAAGGGAGGACAAGCACACATAGTGCGGCAACAAGTGAAGAAAGCAAGGGAGGAGTGATTCAACTTAACCAAGATGAAGTGGAGAAGATGAGATCATTCCTCAACAAGTTGGACAAACCAACAAGTAGTTGTTCTCTAGCATATTCAGGTACATTTGGTGAATTTCTTCTTTTCTTCGGACTTAATGCCTCAGATAAACACTATAACCAATATTGGATACTGGATTCTGGGGCTACTGACCACATGACACCCCAACCTAAACATTTCTCCTCTTACACCCCTTGCCCTAGCAATAAGAAAATATCCACAGCACATGGCACTCTGATGACTGCAGTAGGTCAAGGATAAGTTCAAATAAGCTCATCCAAAACCCTTAAAAATGTCCTTCATATTCCTAAACTATTTGTCAGTCTGATTTCCATAAAAAAAACGCATAAAAGACCTATCATGTAATGTTATTTTTTATGACAATGCTTGTATACTGCAGGACAAGCACTCGGAGAGGACGATTGGACATGCTAGAGAATGGAATGGCCTTTATTACTCGGATAGCCCGAATCTACCACCAGACCTACAAAATAGCAACTCTTTTTTCTCTGACTCAATAAAGACCAACAGGGAGAAAGTCCTCATACATCATCGTCGTCTTGGACATCCTTTCTTTAGAGTCATAAAATTGTCATTCCCTTATGTTTGTAGCAAATTAGATGTGGAGAGTCTTCATTGTGAAGTGTGTGAGCTTGCTAAGCACAAGCGTGTACCTTTTCTAGTTAGTAATAATATGAGCACTTTCCCATTCTATTTAATTCATACTGATGTGTGGGGTCCCTCAAATGTCCCAAATGTTTCTGGTGCCCGTTGGTTCCTTACCTTTATAGATGATTGTACTCGGGTCACATGGATTTTCTTACTAAAACAGAAGTCCCGAGTCAGCTCTGTGGTCCAACATTTTTTCTCCATGGTAAAAAATCAATTTGGTGTTAGCATTAAGAGGATTAGATCCGATAATGCCAAAGATTACTTTAATCATGAGTTTATTTCCTTTTGTCAAAAGGAAGGTATCATTCATGAGTCATCTTGTGTCAAAACACCTCAACAAAATGGGATTGCTGAGAGGAAAAACAGACACCTACTAGACCAAACTCGGGCTCTTCTTTTTCAACATAAGGTTCCTAAAAGGTTTTGGGGGGAAGCTGTTTTGACTCCATGTTATCTAATTAATACTCTACCTTCTAGTATTCTAGCCTCAAAAAGTCCTATGGAGGTTCTGTCTTCTTTCTATCCTAATGTGTCCACATCCAATCAACTTGTTCCAAGAATATTTGGGTGTGTATCTTTTATGCATGTCCACAGTGGTGATAAAGATAAACTTGATCATAGAGCCTTAAAATGTGTTATATAGGATACTCATCCACACAAAAGGGATACAAATTCTATCACCCACCATCCAAAAAAAAATTTGTGTCCAGAGATGTCACCTTTTTTTAGCAAGAAAGTTACTTCCACCAAGATTATCTTCAGGGGGAGAATACAAGAAAGGAAGATGATCTCCTTATGCTCACTGACATAAGTTTAGGACCAGAAGTAGGGACTAGAAGTGTAACAACTTTTGAGAAGGAGGCAACTTCTGAGGAAGAGGCTCAACCCACTAAGTCCACTCAAGATGGAGCTGATGTAAGATTTGAGAAAAAGTTGGTTTATACAAAGAAGACAAAGGCCATTCCAGAATCTGTCCATGTCCAAGAATCCAACCCAACATTACATGAGGTAACTACCCTTGATCCTTTAATCTCCACTGAATCAATCTCTGATTTCCCCACTGTACAGGAACCCGAATCTAGTTCAACACCACTTCATGATGACCTAGATATTCCAATTGCCCTTAGGAAAGAGACTAGGAAATGTATCACCAAGCCACTTTATCCTCTAGCCAATTACCTATCATTTAAAAACTTCTCACCTACCCATAAAGCCTTCCTCACAAGCCTAAACACTACAACCACACCTACCTCCTTATCTGAGGCATTGATTGATAGGAAATGGAAACAAGCCATGGACTTGGAAATGGAAGCATTAAAAAAGAATAGCACCTGGGATTTGGTTACTCTCCCAAATGGAAAAAAACCAGTAGGATGCAAGTGGGTATATACTATAAAATACAAGGCTGATGGATCCATTGAGAGGTATAAATCAAGGTTAGTAGCTAAGGGATTCACTCAAACTTATGGAGTGGATTACATGGAAATATTTGTTCCAGTTGCAAAAATGAATACAGTTAGGGTGATACTATCCCTAGTGGCTAATTATGGTTGGAACTTGCAATAATTTGATGTTAAAAATGCATTCCTCCATGGAGAACTTGAAGAGGAGATTTACATGGAATTGCCCCTTGGATATGGTGGAAAACCGTTGCCAACACTGTTTGCAAGCTAAAAAAGGCATTGTATGAGCTGAAACAATCACCACGAGCGTGGTTTGGTAGGTTTACTAAAGTTATGATAGGTCAGGGCTTCAAACAAAGTCAAGGAGACCACACTTTGTTCATTAAACACTCTAAGTCAGGGGGAGTAACAATGTTACTAGTTTATGTGGATGATATTATAGTGACAGGTGATGATGAGCAGGAGCAACAACTGTTAAGCCAACATCTAGCCAAGGAATTTGAAATTAAGACCTTGGGAAAATTGAAGTATTTTTTGGGAATTGAAGTGGCTCATTCTAAAAAGGGAATCTTCATATCTCAACAAAAATACATCACTGATTTGTTGAAAGAGACTGGTAAGACAGCATGCAAGCCTGCAAGTACACCAATTGGTCCAAACTTGAAGTTGGGAAATGCAGAAGAAGATACTGCAGTTGACAAGGAAACTATCAAAGACTAGTTGGTAGACTGATATATTTATCTCACACTAGACTTGATGTTGCATTTGCTGTGAGTCTAGTCAGCCAGTTCATGCACCAATCGAAGGAGGTTCACTTACAAGTTGCACTAAGAATTGTGCAATATTTGAAAGGGACCCCAGGTAGAGGAATTCTGTTTGAACGGAATAAGAGTGTAAGTCTTGAAGCATATACAGATGCAGACTATGTAGGGTCGATTGTGGATAAGAGGTCGACTACATGATATTGCACTTTCCTTGGAGGGAATCTTGTGACTTGGAAGAGTAAAAAACAAAGTGTGGTGGCTAGATCCAGTGTTGAAGCAGAATTCAGGGCAATGGCACAAGGGATATGTGAACTATTGTGGTTGAAGATCATCTTTGAAGACTTAAGAATAAAGTTGGATAAACCAATGAGACTTTATTGTGATAACAAATCTGCTATTAGCATAGTCCATAACCCAGTTTAGCATGATAGAACCAAACATATTGAAGTCGACAAACATTTTATCAAAGAAAAATTAGACAGTAGTCTGATCTGCACTCCATATGTCTCCTCACAAGACAACCTTGCAGATATTCTAACGAAGGGGCTGAATAGCAACAACTTTGAGAAGATTGTTTCCAAGCTGAGAATGGAAAATACCTATTCACCAACTTGAGGGGGAGTGTTAGAATCTGTTTTATTAGTTGTATTATTTTTGTCAGAATCAGTGTTTTATTAGTTGTATTATTTCCTTATTTAGCAGATTACAATTATAGTGTATGAGGAAAATATCCCTGAATCATAAGGATCTGATAGTTTAGGTGTTATTGTATTTCCTAAAATAGCTTTTTATCCCTGTATATATGATTGATGTATTCTCAGCATAAATAATAATAAAAAAAATTAATTCATTCAACCCTAATTTTTGAGAGATTTTACTGATAATGTGCTGCACACCTACTTTCTACTTGAGATAATCTGATATTGGTAAGCTTAAGCAAGCAAGGGGACCACCAGCAGTAGGGTGTTGTGCATTAAATACACTACAGAAAATCTAAAAGAATAAACCACAGGCATTGGATGTATCATAAGGTAATTACGCGCCGAGTGGTGCATATATATATAACAGAACGTTCACTTCACTCTTAAAGCAGCACAGGTGGGAAAAAAGGGTTTTGTGAAATCATGAGTTCTAGGTTATCTGGGAAGGTGAACTGGTTCAACGATATTAAGGGGTTTGGATTCATTACCCCTGATGATGGTACTGAGGAGATTTTCGTTCACCAATCTCAGATCAAGACTGATGGTTTCCGGAGCCTTGCTCCCGGTGAATCTGTTGAGTATCAGGTTGAATATGGTTCCGATGGAAGACCCAAGGCTGTTCAGGTGACTGGACCTGGTGGTGCGGCTGTGCAGGGAAGCGAGCGAAGCAGAGATAGTGGAGGAGGCGATGGTTATGGTGGTAGTGGACGTGGAGGAGGACGCAGTGGTGGGGCAGGAGATGCTAATCAGGGGCATGACCCTTAGTGCATAGATGCAGGCCAGGAAGTGTGACCCCAGAGCATGCAACTGTTGAAGAAGGAAACCAGTGTATTGTAATATATACACCAAAAATTATCTATAAAAAATTGTATCATCTATTCTATTTTTCTTTGTTTTTATATTATATTTTGGCACATGTATGGAAATGATGTATGTATGTATGTAAATGATTGTATTTTGGTCACTCACATGTGTATTCACTATCACATGTATGGAAATGATGTATGTATGTATGTAAATGATTGTATTTTGGTCACTCACATGTATATTCACTATCACATGTATGGAAATGATGTATGTATGTATGAAAATGATGTATGCATTAAAGGTGTGGGGAAGAATTATAGTATATACATCTTAAGCAAACTAGTAGCGTTAGCAAATGGAATTAGTGGGAACATAATTGGATAATATCAAAATAGGACCAAATCTATCCTTCGATTATTATTATTATAAGCAATAATTTTTTTTTTTATCGAAGAATTGATGTATTTGTTTATTATTATATACTAGTATTAGATACATTAATTATTCAATAAATTAAAAAATATGTTTGGTAATCGACTAATCGTATGGTGTCGGTGGTTGCAGTGGTCCATGAAAACCAAAACATGTGATTATGTTGATTTGTAATCGTATGATGTCGGTGGCTACGGTGGTCCATGAAAACCAAACATATGATTATGCTTGTTGTGTAATTTTTGGTATCCTTTGGATGTTGAGTTGTCTTTTGTTTATAACCATGAATCCTAAACCCTAAATCATAATCAGTTTGAGAAATATCTCAAGTGTCATTACTCTCATGACAACCGAAATTGAATTTTCCGCATTCAGAAAAAGTACACATTCACACGTTTAAGCTATTGGTGTCCATTGGGTTAAAATTTGATGATCTACAAAATACCAAATTTTAATTAATGGTTTATAATTTATAATACAAAAATTACATTAGAATTATTTGATCTTGATCAAATGATCATCGTTGTTCGACTGTGTTAATGTGTGCTGATTCTTAAATTTTTCATTTGTTTCCAAGAAAACTATATGATGTCCCAACTCAAATCCAATGTTAACCCTATTCTCATCCTTTCTATCTTTCTCTCTCTCTATCGATCTTTTCTCTCTCTCTCTCTCTCTCTCTCTCTCTCTCTCTCTCTCTCTCTCTCTCTCTCTCTCTCTCTCTCTCTCTCTCTCTCTCTCTCTCCTCTCTCTCTCTCTCTCTCTCTCTCTCTCTCTCTCTCTCTCTCTCTCTCTCTCTCTCTCTCTCTCTCTCTCTCTCTCTCTCTCTCTCTCTCTCCTCTCTCTCTCTCTCTCTCTCTCTCTCTCTCTCTCTCTCTCTCTCTCCTGACTTCTCTTCTTTTTGCTGTCCTAAATCTAGAATTTTTGTGCTCATATCTGTCTCAGCATTACCTTCCCCGTAGAAATTGTAAAATCAAAATCATGGATTATAGGTGTTCTTTAGTGCCTCATTTTCACTCCTCTTCTCGCCAATTTCTCTCTCCATTATCAACATTCATCTATCTGTAACAACTCTTCAATTTCATTCATTTTCTATAATTTCTGTGATCTAACCTAATTTTCATCTTTTTCAGGTGATTCTTCTGATTCTTCGTTTCCGTTCTGCATACTCGAGAAACAAATTTCTCGGTTACTTCGTGTGGATCTCACATCCGACACTCCTTCAAAGATCCAAAGTTGTTTACGTCTCTTCGTCGAACACTTCCATTGCGGTCGTCAAGAGGATGCTCACGAGTTTCTTTGTTATGTTTTTGATGTGTGTCATAACTCGTCTCATGTTACTCTCTTTTATATATTAAAAAATCAAAATTTTAATTTATGTAACTTCATTGTTCTTTAATCAGGTTCTACAAATATTAGAACTAGATTGGCCTCACAGGATATTCTTTTTAATATTCCTCATTTTATTGCTCTCTATACCAAACAAGTTCCTAAGAGGAATGTTCAAGATCAGGTTTTTGAAATTATTTAATTTTGTTGTTTTTACTTTCTCTGTAGGTGTAAGTGTTTTACTTTAATTGTTGTTTGTTATTGTGTTTACGTGTTTAGATGCTTAATAGTTAGGTTGCAACTGCACAACATATGAAAAGGAAAAAAGGCTTATGATGTTGTAAGTTATGATACATTGTAAAGATGATATTCTATGCTGCAATTTGCTGATACTGGTTTTTATGTTTTTTTTTAGAAAAAAAAAAATTGCGTCTCTGTTGAAGATATCCTTTTTGGATGAAGAGCCTTCCGACAACTTTTTCCCCCTAAAGGTACATAATATTTTACTTTAGACTGTAAAGTGATAATTTGTAATGTTTGAACCAGAGTATTCAATAGTGGCACTAACCCGCTATAGTGGAGCGGAGGCCGACTGCTATGGGAAGAGTCTTGACAGTGCAGAATACTATAGCGACTGCTATAGGATAAATAGCGGGATATTGGAGTAGAGTAGAGTGGTTTCTGGCCTGGAGCAAGTTTTATCTCGCTATCTTTTTCCCTTTAAATAATTGAAATTACCCTTAAATTTACAATATCTTAAGGGTAATTTTGGATTTTTCAATCATATTTGAGTTGAGACTCAACCTTAACTTTCTTTGATAGTCATTTATGCTCTTCAAGAGTCACGTGTACTTTGATTTATGAATATTTTATGAGTTGAGTTATTTGTCTAATTTTACATTAAATATATGTTTAGAAATTATAATTGTTGTATGTATTTTGTGGCTTATATGTAATTACCAATGCAACTCGGGTATTCACCTTCGTACCTTCATTGGTCAACGGACCCTATTCTTTGCATTTGGTAGTTCAACATGTATTGGACAAATGTTTTACACCATCGGCTTGCTCAGCTCATCAGAATGCGTTGAACTCAGGATTATCATATCTAGTTGCTTCAGCTTCAGGTTAAAATTATTTTCCTGCTAAACATCTTTCTTTACTTCAATGATAAAATTCTCAATGCGGACTTCAAAAAAATTTATTACTTCATTCAATTCTATATTAGTAAGGTTATTTAAGTTTCTTTTTTCACAAATTGGCAAGCCTTTTGAACAACCATGCTAGGGGTTCTGTCTTTCGTGATTGTTAGGAAGAATCGGATGATAGTCGAGTTATAAAGCTGTGATTGTCATTACCATAAACTGTAAAGAAATTCTGGGCTGCTCTGATTGTTAAGATATCATCTACATTGTGTTTATGGAGTATATTAACATAAATGTTTACTTACACGGTGTTCAACTTTTAGAGTCTGTATTAAGAGTGTAGTCGTAATTTTTTATGTTAGAAACTCACATTTTCGTTCATGATTGATTGACCATTTCAACCGTTCATGAGTTCAGCAGTCTCATCATAATTTGTAATGTTTGCAGATTAAACCATAATCACAAACACGACTTATCGATGCTATAATGAACTTGGAAGGCGTATTGTTAGCTGGAGTTCCTGGAGCAGAAGGATTTGATGCAGTATTTGCTGTTACTTTGGGAGATTCAAATAGCAATGTGACGAAAATATGGAGTTCAGTTAATGTTCTCGCCATGTTGGTTAGAAGCATAATGGACTTCTCATAGCTAGATTTTATGTTCATTCTCATGTATGTGGTTTATATACAGGTTAAGCTTTGGTAAACATGACTTTTAATTTAAATCAATGTTAAATTTATTTGTTAGAATTTGATTGTGTGGTTTTTCAAAATTGAGATGATTGAATTTTAAAATTTTAATAGTTTAGACCATCAAGCTCCAACTTAGTAATATGTTTGACACATAATATAAAAAATATGTGATGATTGATAAGTGTATATTTAATTTGTATTTTAAAAAAATCATAAGTAATTTTAAAGGTGTATAGTTAATTTTAATTTGTTTGATTATTGTTTAAAATACATTCGATTAAATCTCCAAAAAATTAATTTTAAATTAAAATTTATATACGGAAATAAGATTACTATTGATTCAAATATTTTTATAAATAATATCAAATCAAAAATAATATTTATATATTAGAAAATAATATTGTTGATTAAAATATTTTTATATAGTAAATAATTATAGCCATGAGTTTATTATAACACAAACATAAAATTATTTATCAAAATATTAAATAATAATAAAAATAAATTTACTATTGATTCTATTATTTTTATAAATAATGTTAAAACAAAATAATATTTAGAAAAAAAGTATTTTAAGACTCAAAAATATTTGGTACTCACCCATTCTGTTCTCCACTCTTACGTTCAGTTAATTCGATACGAGCACTCGTCTCTCACGAGGAGCTTATAATGATTAAGGAACCACTGAAGTTTCTTGGACAAGATAGTCACTTCACCCTCTTTGTTTTGGTGTCTGATCACATGACTTTGTTACTTTGAGGATTTTTCTTTGTAAGCCTTTTCTATCTTTCAGGCTTATAATTTTTCTTTTCGTTTTCCCTAACTTTTGCCTGGACAAATTCTTTTGAATTTTGATTTTGAAGTCCAGCGGGATGCCCTAACTTTTGCCTAAGGCACTTGTTTTCAAGTTTTTTTCTTCTTGACTTAGCGGGCTTTCTTTCTTTTCTTTTTTGATTATTTTTTTTTGAACAAATCGTGTGATCCCGAGTCTTTTGACTTGTTGAGTGACTGCCTCATTTCTTGGTCGATGAGGGATAACCATTTTGGTATCGTTATCTTTTGTTCTTCTGATGGGTGAAGGACAACCATTGTGGTTGATCCTTAGATGCGCACTTCTGATGAGATTTGAATACTCGATCAGATAAACTGAACACTGCCCTACTCTGGGTTTAAAATGAGGGTTATTTCTGAATAGAAAAGAAACTCCTACTTCAAGGCTAAAAGAGGTTGACGAGGGTTTCACTCCCTTATATCTCTGGTGTTTGGGGATTTGAAACAATGCATGTGCATCATCAACAAGGTTTTACTCAAAGGCATATCGTATGAAATTTTAGGTATAGTTCCCTTGGTATTTCACAATCTTCTTCGCCTTCGTCTTCGGCTTGGTTAATTGGATGTTTGAAGTCATAACTGGCAATAGTAGAGTCGTTGGAAATAAGATCCATAGTGGATGGAGATCTACAAGTGTGTGTGTGCACATGTAAGATACATGGCTATTGAAAAAAATGCAATAAAGAAAAAGAAAGACAATGAATACAAGATTTGAAAGCAAAAGGTCCAATGGTTTATATTAAATGATCATATGATAAATGAACATGAACAAAACCCTTAACAAATAGACCATAGTTCCCCGAGCAAGGCATATGGCTTAAAAGTCATTGTTTGGAATTTAAAGTTACAGACAAAATTTCTTAAATTGACAGAAAACAGTAAACAATAGTTACTCCTCAATGAAGGTGATGAAGTGAAATTCTTTGCATGGCAGTTGTTGAGCTTTCCTCCGAAAGTAGGGTAGATCCATTCTCCAAAAGCGTGTTCATCATCAGAGTCTTCCACAACGTTCACTTCATGATTTCTAATGCGGAGAGGTAGCTTTCCCACGCGAGCGCGCTTGACTTCTTTCTGAGCTTTGATGGTAAAACCCAATCTGGATTTGTCTGCTTTAAACAGAACGTCGGGGAGTTGTCCCCAGATAGTACAACTTCTATCTTCGACTGCAGCATGGACATCTTTAAGTGAAACCATTTTCGGTACAATCTCATCAGGTTTAGATATGTTAGAGGAGATTTTGGTGGCAGCAATCATAGGAGGAACAACTTCGAAAGTCTGGCACAAATTTTCTATGAACTCACCATCCATTTCCACATACTTGAAGGAATTGAGGTGGCTCACCATAAATTCTTCTTCGCTGCAAACAGTAACGATTTTCACTTTGACTGGATATTTTAATTTTTGATGAAGGGTGGATGTTACTGCCCCTTCCCCATGGATCCAAGGGCGCCCAAGAAAATAAGAGTAGGCGGGATGTATGTCCATTATATAAAAGGTAGAGTTGAAAATCTGTGAGCCAACTTTAATTGGGAGATCCACCTCTCCATGAACCATCCTTTTAGACCCATCGAAATCCCTTACAATAATATCGCTTGGCTTCAATACCAGTCCTTCACAATCTAGCCGGTCTAAAGCACCTTTGGGTAACACATTTAGAGATGAGCCAGTATCAATTAAGACACGTGCTAGGGTGGTTCCCTTGCATTCAATAGATACATGCAAGGCTTTGTTGTGGTTCTTTCTCATAAGAGTCAAATCAGCGTCGCATAACCCTAATCCATTGTCATCCGTTAAACTTGCTACACAGTTCTCGTACTAGTCAACTGTGGTTTCTTGGGGCACATGGGCTTTCTTCAAGAACTTGATTAGAGCCTGGGCATAAGCGTCCGAACAAAGTAACAATGACACCATGGAGATTTTGGAGAGGGTTTGCCCTAGTTGCTCAACTATTTTGAAGTCATTCTTCTTTATGATTTTCAGGATTTCCTCCATCTCTCGAGTGGAGGGTTCTTCGGCCTCAGTATCTTTGGTAGGTGCCTCTATCCCAACAGGATCACCTTCTTTCTCTTTGCCTCTAGTGTTGGCACTATACTTGTCATTGGTTATAAGGACGGGAGTTGTTGTAGTAGTGGGCGGTGAAATATCAGGGGAAAAGATCCTCCCTGTTCTTGTTACTTTACTAGAACCCGTAATATTAGTAACATCAACTTCATTTTCGTTGATTCAAGAATCTTGTTTTATCCCATGGTAATAAACCTCGGCACCATAGTTCCATGGAACCACTTTGTTAGAGGAGTAGGGAATAGGCCCAGCGACAATGATTATTAAATGAACAATGGTTGGTTCATTTGAAATCCTAATAGGACCCTTTGAGGGGATCCTAAGAGGCTTGTTGGAGATGGTTATTATGGACAAGTCTTCAGTTTTTTTGGTTAAACTTTTGATGGTAGGAATCTTCTCAGACAGAATCTCGCGGCTATTTATCAGGCATTGCACACCTTCCTTCAGCCGCTTGCACCCATTTACTTGTTGATCACAACAAACACGATCTTTAGAACAGCCATGGAACACCCCGACTCTCATCAAATTACCCTTCATAGTAGTTAATAGAGTTGTTAAATCCTTAATGAAGGAAACAAAAGTAGTACCATCAATTGCATTAACATCTTTTCCATGGTTCGGAATTGGTGTGGTTATCACATTTGAAGTAGCAGGTGGATCAAATTTAATTGTTTTATTATCTATCAGATCTTGAATCTTATTCTTCAGAGCCTAGCATTGACCCGTTTCATGCCCAGGGTTGTTGGAATGGTACACGCACTTGACATTTGGATTGTACTTAGGTGATGAAATGTCTGGATTGGATGGTGTATTGCGCAATGTCACTAAGTTTTCCTTCAATAGATGTTGTAAGGCTTGTGATAATGACATGCTTATTCTCGTGAACTGTCTTCGAGGAACTTCAAATCGTTGATTGTTGGATGATTGCATTTGAGCAGATGAATGGTTGGAGATTAACAGAGCATTAATAAAGGGTCGGTGATCCTTTTTGGTATGGGCCCTTTCCCCATACACACCATTTCTTTCCTTCTTTCCAGTGAAGGGCTTCTTTACAGTGTTGGATGCGGAAGCAGATGTAATGGGGATTTTCCCACTCTTAATGCTGATTTCTACCCTTTCACCAGTTAGTATCAACTCGGTGAAACCAGACGAAGAACTCCCAATCAATAGGTTGAAAAATGGGCCAGTTAATGTACCCATGAACATGTCAACTAGTTCTCTGTCAGTTAGTGGTGGTTGGACCTTGCCAGCAAGATCCCTCCATTTTTGTGCGTACTCTTTAAACCCCTGATTAGTACCCATTGTCATACCTTGAAGTTGGACTCTGGTTGGTGCTAGATCGGCATTGTATTGATATTGATG